TCATGGCTCTCATGTTGCTAGGTAACCCATTTCGGGCTCTCACTGCCGGGAAAGAAGGTCTGATTGACCTGGCTTGGTTCAGGCAGTGTCCTACCCAATGAGCCGCCAGCAGGATGGGAGGCACAGGGCAAATGTGGACCCTAGTGAGCCCCTCAGGGAAGCAGTGGCCTTTCCCAGAGAAGAGTGAGTAACTCCCAGACGGCACAGGTCCTTCAGAAAGCACTGCTGGAAGCGCGAGCCAGGCGAGAACAGCGAAGACTGAGTCATCGTAGGGAGGTGTGCTGAGCCCAGCCATGGCCTAATGAGACTGACATCGCATCAAGGACTGACTGCTGCAGGTAGACACTGCTCATGCACAGTGCCACTGGGCCCTTCCACAGGTACACCCTGCACAGGGCTGTCTGTGCTCTTGGCACAGAAGCATAGATCCCTACTTCTGCCAAGACCCAGATTCCTGACCTCTCAGTGTAGTTTTTTGCCCCCAAGACTTCTCCCTGCTCCCGTCCCTCATAGTCCAGCAACAGGCATTTAGGGGGGTTATTAAATTTGCGCTCCAGTCTAATGCACAGCTAGGACATCATGGGGGAAGATGGCCTTCACACCCGCCTTGACTCGTCTTGAGTGCGTGATGATGCTTTCCACCTCATCAGTACTACTCGCTCTGTCTCTCCCTCGCGCCATGGCCTTGGGCACAGTTTTCCACATTCCAGAGCCTCAGATTCCTTACAAGTTGGAGATAGTAATGGTACCTACCTCCAGTGCTGTGTGATTCAGCGAGGTAAAGAACAGGTCTTACTTAGCATGTTGTCTGGTATCCATCACCATCACTGCCGCCATCATCATCATCATCACCATCACCATCATCACATTCTTTATCATCTTGTTCTTCCTTTGGGACTGAACTCCTTGTCACCCAAGAGATCCTGAAGGCCTCGCCTGCCTACTGCAACTCCTCCTCTCCCAAGCAGCCCGGAGAGGGGCCGTGAAGTCCCTAGGACAGACTCTGTTCGGCTGCACAAGTTACCAGAATGAGACTGGAAAAGCTGTCTGTGTTCTGGAGCGAGAGCCCCACACAAGTCAGATAAACCCCGTGCTTTCCGGAGGTCACCAGATACCTTGCTTTTTCATTGTCTGACCCTGGACAAAGTTGGGCAGTGACCAGATTGTCTATCTCCAGTGGCGAAGTGAAAGCACCTTGTTAACATGGGCTGGCAATTGAGAAATGCCAGGCAGCAACCACCAGAAACATGCCCCATCACGAAAAACAAGGGGCTACGGGACGTGAGAGGTGGCCACACACTAGGGAATTGGATGCTCACCTTAGGAAGGTGGTCCCCCAGTCTCATAAAAACCAGCAGTCTCTTTAGTGAGCCACAGACACACCTGCAAGTAGCGGGGCCTCGAGAGAAGCGTGCCTAGGAAGCTTCCCACGGGCTGGCTGCAAGTGTGGAGCCCAGTCCACAAGGTCTTTTGACCCCGCTAGCCTTCCCTATACCCTGAAAGGCAGGACCAGAGGTGGTGGCTAAGAGCCTGGGCTGTAGAATCAGACAGACCTGGGTTCAAATCCTGGCTTCTGGGGCTTGTGCCTTGGTCAAATAGCTTCACATTGCTGAGCCTCAGTTTCCTCATTGTGGGGAGGCTACTATTGCTTAAACAAAGCTTCAATGAGATAATGGATGTAATATCCTGGCCCACATGAGCACTCAGGAACTGGCTCCTCCTTGGTCATCTGTGATGTACCCCAGTGGCCCGTGGGCAGATGCACTCCTCCACCAGCCCAGTGCATTTGCAGCACAATGAAAGACTGTTTAAAAGGCCAGATTGTCCAAAGATACTGATTTAAAGCTATCCATCAACAAATGTCACTTCTACCATCCCCACCCCCGTTAAATCCGCAGCATAGACCGTCTCAAATGGGGGGAAATGAATGGTGGCAGCACTGTGGGGCTGAACAGCATCACCTGCACCTGCTCACAGGTACCTTCCTCCCAGGGAGTGCTGTGCTCTAGAGACAGAAGAATTGGGTTCCTCCTTCTACTAAGACTAGAATTACTGAGACGTCAACATAATTATTACCCAAGACTTCCTTCTGTTCAGTAACGAGGCTTCAGGAACTTTCATGAAACATGAACTCCAAACCACCCACCCTGTCTGAAGAACTACTGGCACCTGTGGGCATTTTAGCAGCATCACAAAGTGTCCCAGGGCCTAGGGAGAAAGACCATAAGAAGAAAGGTGGAGACTGACTCTCACTGCCTCACTCTCTCACTGCCTCACTCTCTCACTGCCTCACTCTCTCACTGCCTCACTCTCTCACT